GCTCTTCAATTATTAGTTCATGGTAGCAGTTATTGTTATTTATTTTTATTATTATTTACAGAACCAACGGCGGACAAAATACAAGAATGCAAGAGTACAGTCGAGGCCATGGAACGTGATATGCCCGACATAATACAGGGTAAATCATGAGAGAACCAGTATTATTGAAATAATTTCGGGTATCAGCAAGTTGAAATGGCAATAGGAAGATATCACACTGTCTGAGTGATTAGATATATCGTGTCGTATATCGATCCCATTTGGGTAGACAGAAACTCTCACAGGCACAAACAATTTGTCTTTGTGGCCAACCTTTTTCAATGTTGCCTTTCACGCTGTGGTTCTAGCTACCTCTTTGGTCACTCTGGCTTTCATTCATCCACTCCATGTGCCTTAACAATCTCAATATACCTTCCTCTATTTTTATCACTACGTCCTCTTTCAAACCACATGGTTCACGGATCCCAGTAGTCTTTACTTGGTCATACAACCATATCCACATTTAGCGTGTATCATCCACGTTATTAGCATATCTTCACTTTTCACCAGCTGAGTTTGTGGACGTAAGGTTTATTAATTGACAACTTCTAACCAGGAAAATTTACAAATTAGTTCCACCTTCACCTTTCCTTCTTCGGTCTTTTAGAAAATCCAGCTTCGTCCTTACGTTGTTGATATATCACACATTCGTACAAAGCGCTCCACCTTTTCTAATACTTACGGCAAAAGAATGGAATACACGGCATCTATGTACATCTCAAAGTACAATTTAGTGCTATTCAAGGCAATAGGCATTTAGTATATAAACAAAAATCTGCAGGAGTACGCGAGACCGCCGAGAAGCAAACGAATGAGGCAGCAAAGAAACAACTTTTGGACCAACTTAATGAGCTCATGAATTTGATCAATGCACTGTCCAAAGCTTCCAAGAAAGATGATTTCGTAAGTATACCCTTCTTTGTAAAACGATGAATGGTTTCATAGATTTTTCACAGGTCGCACTACGGCAAAAAGCCGTTAAAATTTAAAAGATCTGCAACAAGCATATTCAGAAATTCAAAAGGTCAGCCTAACTTGTTCCCTAGCTTAGTTGGAAAAGCGATAGCCACGGTTTGGCAAAACAGTTGCAAGTTCGAGTCCAGCCGGACCGAAGGAAGTTTTCTTTGTGTTACATAATAGCAAAGTGGCATCTTCTTACTGGAGTATTTTCACAAAAAAATTATAGATATCATGGTAGTAACATTGTGATATTCAATAATATAAATATCGTTTAATAATATAATCCCTTCGACCTGACAGGACTCGAACCTGCGACTGTGCCAAACCAGGGCCACCGCTTTACCAACTGAGCTACAGAACTCGGCAAACTTTAGGAATATTGTGTTACGAAATGTTTGTTACAGATCTTTTGTATTGGGTTTTATCGCCGTAAGCGACACCTGTGAGAGATCTGTGAAGCTTTTTATACGGCCGGTACCTTTACAGCTACTAGAGTCTGATTTAGAAGCAGCAGATCTCCTTGTGAAAGAGTTCGTCCAGGGAAGTATTGCCACCTTACCTATTTCTGCCGCCAAGCAAGTAATCTTCTTGACTTGTCAACTTATGTCTTAGGGTACCGGGCGCAGTGGCAGTGCCCATAAGATCTTTGCGATTTAAAGCTCTGAGTGGCACTGCAACTGTTATGAATAGACGTGTCGCTTACCACCAGGTGCGCGACTTGCACGTCCCGTCACTTGGTATTATAAAAACATAAAAATAATAATAATAATAATAATAATAATAACGCACACACTCAACATAGCCCCGCACTAGGGAAACCCTGTGTCGCGGGTGCCATGGACACACATAGACAACCACAAATTACACCCAAACTCACGAGAGAAATAAATGTAGGCCATACAAATATTTCTCCCGGCCCGGGAATCGAACCTGGGACCTCTGCGTGGCAGTCCGGCATGGTAACCGTTCGGCCACAGAGGCAGTAAAAAAAGATTAATTGAAACCTTTCACAATGATATTTGAAAGGTTTTTTGAATGGTAAGACAACACTCATCATCAGCATCGTCGTCCACCCCCTATACCTTGGGTACATATCTCCTCTATGAGGTTTGTCCGCTACGCTGACCCCATGTGTCTTGGAGATTTCAATCGTTTTCAGAGAATTGTGAACTTCCTTCGATAAAAACGTTTCATAACGATGTTTTCTTCCTTCGCCGCTATCCTCGCTGATATTAGCGATATATATTGCTACTAAATGGTATTTCGTAAAAATTACTTATATTTTGTTATCACTTGCTTTAATATTGATTGAACTGGAGATAGTTCACATGCTTCATCGAAGAAGATGTCTACCATGGGAGTTCATCACTATGGTCTTAACCCTGACATTGGTAACGACGATTATTAGTCCAGTTTCAAGATTAAATTGAAATAATGAACAAGTAAAAGAAGGAGATATTAAAGAAGTTACAATTTTTACCAGAACCCCGAAGAAGTACAAGAGCCAGCGTGTATGATCGCGGACCTGACGACACAAATGTATTTCTGTATGGATCCGAGAACTAGGAAACGCAGCGAATGTGTCAGTGTAAGTATATGTCTAATTAGTCATTCATAAAGGGTAATTTTTTTAAATACTGACATCATAAACAATAACTTTTGTTCCATGACTTTTTACAAAACATTATAAATATTTACTCAAAAACAACTTTTAAGTTTTTGTTGTACTATCTGACACTTCTTGGATCTGTATTTGGTAGAATATGTTCAAACGTGCAACCTAGAATCGGACATGTCTCTGTTAACAAAATAATCAGAACAAACGTTTCATTCTGAATTTATGAGTAAAACACCCATGAGTCTCACTCCTCTAGTTTTGGAAAAAACCTCGACCGTATTTTATATCCCATATTTGGTATTTTTTGAAAATAAAATTCTTGTAACCAAATCGTTGCACCTAAGTAATTCGTTAGGTTATTTTTTGTAGGGCCTTACTTGTAGGCATATTACAAATGTTTGTGTGTTTTTTTGCCGCGCTGGCATATATACGCTGCGAGTAAATCATCTTTTTTTACTTTATTTCTTTCTGGATTTTTTGTAATTATGTTAATTGTATTTGCAACTTGCTTTAAAATCTAGCTGCAGATAAAGATTAATTCGACAAAAAAATCATGTACTAACCCCGCATAATATTCGAAATATAATTCTTGAAATTTTCGTGACATTAGAGTTTAGACCTATCTATTTTAATTTACTTATTTTTTATGAAAGTAAAATCTGATGAATGATTATAAGTCATGGAATGACTATTGTTGTTTAAGATGTTAGTAATATAGTCCTGGGAAGTTGTTGGTATTTTAAAAATAATTCTGTACAATTAGGCACAAGTACAGATAACAGACTATAAACAATACTCAGAACCATTACATAAATAACATGAATTACGTATCCAATTATAATTGTACACATCGTTCACATATCAAAACAAACAGAAATATGAAGGCAAATGTTGTTATTTTGTAATTGATGAGTACAATGTTGGTTTGAAGAACATAAAGCTCTACGATGTCGAATTTCAAAGAGCGAATAAGTTGCCTCTCTGACATCTTCCTCGCATTTGTAGTAGCAGTAGAGCTTCTTGTGAAAGAGTTCGTCCAGGGATGTACTGCCACCGTAACAACTTAATTTCTGCCAAGCAGTAATGAAACCAGTTTAGAATTTATAATCACATGGGACTTGTCACCTTATGTCTCTGCAACTGTTATGGACAGGTGTGTCGCTGGCCATCCGGCGCATACTTGTTCGTCCTGTCGCTTACTATCATAAAATAAAACAATGCAAGATGTGGAATGTGTTCGTGGTAAATGCAAAAGTTGCTAAAAATCTCGCAAACTTTTTTCCACTTTCTTCCTTCCATTTTAATCGGCCGTATTTCAGCTCGGTGACCCGTGGCTGTTGTTTAAAATCAATAATGTAGTAAGGGAATTTCTTGGCTTAGAAAACTAAATCCAAATTTGTAAGGGTAACAAAAGTAAAAACATTTATTGTTTGTCACCATAATTTAAAGAAAACGATGATAGCATTTTACTTGGCGTTTGTTAGGAGTCGCGGAAAAGCTTCTTAGCAGATGAGAAGATGGAATGCACACTACGTCGCGCGTCCTTCATCAATGCATCTGCCGGCGCCTGCGCAGCCATTGACGAGGCCCAGTCCACTCTCAAAGAGGTTAATTTCCACTGATTTATATCAAGTTTACGAGTTTAAAGTTGTAAAATTGATTACGGCGTCCACAGGGTGGTATATAAACTATCAACCATTCTATCAACTACAGTCAATTCTTTTAAATAAGTTGTCCACGAAATATACATACTTTACCAATACATACCGCGCTATACCGCGTGAATGAAAATTTTAGAGATTTATGGAAATTTTGGCACGCATTTTCAACGTAACATAAATGATTTTGCTGACGTGTTTTAGAGTTTTATTAATGTTACTTTTAATTCATGTAGGATTCCCTGCCAGTGGTGAATGGACGTGAAGTGGAACAGCTGGAATCTGCAGCGATTAACAAGATGGCGCTGCTCAGCGCAGCTGTTACCCGCCATCTTACCGCACATTTTGGTACCGTTTCAGCACATATCTTTATTTCATTTTTTATGCACGTTTCATACAAGAAAATGGTTAAAAATCAATCCTGAATCGTAATTCAATTAGGGTTGAATCTTATTCGTGAATAAATAAACGGACGAAATAAGCTGTCGTTAAAAGTTTATATTTAGTCTACCTATAGGTGTGAATATTTTCTTCTAGATCCCAAAAATGTGGACTACGCAGATTCTGTGAATTCAATGAACACTATCAAGGAACTTATACCGGAGTTAGCAACAGGTAAGTAACATTTTTCAATTTCTCTAAAATGGAACATCTATCTCCTATCCCAATTCGCGTATACCAACTCGCAACGCGTAGTACCATGTAAGCTAAGCATCTAATATGCTGAAGAAGAGCCTGTAGTTTCTTTTTGTCCTTGTAGATGCTAAAGCGTTAAGCAGCGTTCGCGATAGCAAGTCTCGACAAGAGCTGTTAGCAGAGATGGAGGCTTTGTGCGAAGCTGCAAGACGGCTTTGCTTGCTCACTGAATCTGATGACCATGACGTAAGTTTAACTAATATCTATAAGGAATAAAAATGGGCATAGAAATGGTCCCTGAATGACGCCATGGCCACGTAATCTTAAAATTGTCAAAGAAGGATGCTTCATCTTAATGTCTCTACTATTAACGTTAGCTTTAGCCAATAATGACATTTAATTAATACATTATGTAAACTTATTTATCAAATCAGCGTGAATAACGAATAACATTAGTTCCAATACAGATCCCTATAGGGCAATCATTATTGTAGTATTAAGCAGTGTAATCTAGCTACTATTTATTTCATTGGTAGCGGGCTTCTCG